TTAATTTCTCTACGTAAAGACTTGTGAGTTTTTTTTAATATTGTAGAAAGGTAATTTAAATTGCTGACTTGTATATTAAAGTATGCTTTGTGGCTGGGCATGGTGGCTCACGCCTGTAATCCCTGCACTTTGAGAGGCTGAGGCTGGCAGATCACTTGAGCCCAGGAGTTGGAAACCATCCTGGGCAACATGGAAATATTGCCGTCTCTACTAAAAATAAACGCCGTCTCTACTAAAAATAAAAAATAGCCAGGCATGGTGGTGCGTGCCTGTAGTCCCAGCTACTCAGGAGGCTGAGGTGGGAGGATCACTTGAATCCAGGAGGTCAGGGTTGCAGTGAGCCAACATTGCACCACTGCACTCCACCCTGGGTGACAAAGTGAGACCCTGTCTCAAAAAAAATAAAATAAAAAGTATGCTTTGTATCACAACATTGCATTCTTTTTAACAGACTTGGAAGATGCTACAAAAACACCTGACTGTTCCAGTGGACCAGTGAAAGAGGAAAGAGGTGATCTTATAAAATTTTACAATACAATATATGTAGGAAGAGTGAAGTCATTTGCACTGAAATACGACTTGTCAAATCAGGACCATGTGGTATGTTTTATGTTTTACTACTTTATTATTATTCGCTGTCATAGTTGAATTACTATAAGTTTATTTTGCTAGATAAGTATGTCAAAGTAAAATTACTAGCAATTAATCAGAGCATGACTAGTAACTTAATCAGTGATTAAGGCTATGGTACAACAGAGACCAGAGGAAATCATGGAATCTGTTGCCCTGGCTACAGTGCAGTGGTGAGATCCTGGCTCACTGCAACCTTTGCTTCCAGGGCTCAAGCGATGCTCCCACCCCAGCCTCCCAAGTAGCTGGTATGACAGCTGCGTGCCACCACCACGCCTGGCTAATTTTTTTGTATTTTTAGTAGATACAGGGTTTCACCATGTTGGCCAGGCTGGTCTGGAACTCCTGGACTTAAGCAATCTACCCACTTCAGACTCCCAAAGTGATGGGATTACAGGTGTGAAACACCACGCCTGGCAGAAATTTTATCTATACCATGATTATGTTGCTAGAAATTCCATGTACATATGGGTAAGAACTTGATGGGAACATGAATATTAAAACAATTAATTTGTTTGTATTTATTTATTTATTTATTTTGAGACAGAGTCTCACCCCGTCACCCAGGCTGGAGTGCAATGGCACGATCTCAGCTCAACTGCAACCTCTGCCTCCCAGGTTCAAGTGATTCTCCTGCCTCAGCCTCCCCGGTAGCTGGTATTACAGGAGCATGTCACTACACCTGGCTAATTTTTTGTATCTTTAGTAGAGACAGGGTTTCACCATGTTGGCCAGGCTGGTCTTGAACTCCTGACCTCGTGATCTGCCCACCTCAGCCTCCCAGAGTGCTGGGATTACAGGCATGAGCCACTGCGCCCAGCAAATTTGGTAAATTTTTCTGTTGTTACATTGTGAGATTAATGTTTTTCTCAAGTTAAAGACAGAAGGGGCCAGGTGTGGTGGCTCATGCCTGTAATCCCAGCACTTTGGGAGACCGAGGTGGGTGGATCACCAGAGGTCAGGAGTTCAAGACCAGCCTGGCCAACATGGTGAAATCCCATCTCTACCAAAAATTAGGTGGCGTGGTGGCAGGCACCTGTAATCCCAGCTACTCGGGAGGCTGAGGCAGGAGAATCACTTGAACCCAGGAAGCGGAGGTTGTAGTAAGCAGAAATTGTGCCACTGCACTCCAGCCTGGGTAACAAGAAGGAAACTCCATCTCAAAAAAAAAAAAAGACAAAAGGAGGTCAGGCACTGTGGCTCATGCCTGTAATCCCAGCGCTTTGGGAGGCCGAGGCAGGTGGATCACGTGAGGTCAGGAGTTCAAGACCAGCCTGGCCAACATGGTGAAACCCATCTCTACTAAAAATACAAAAATTAGCCGGCCATGGTGGTAGGCACCCGTAATCCCAGCTACTTGAGAGGCTAAGATAGGAGAATCACTTGAATCCGAGAGGCAGAGTTGCAGTGAGCCAAGATTGCACCATTGCACGCCAGCCTGGACAACAGAGCAAGACTCCGTCTCAAAAAAAAAAGGCAAAAGGAAGTAGATAGGCCTGGATCATTAATAGAGGCACCACTAAGAAATTTTTATGCAGGCCAGGCGTGGTGGCTCACGCTTGTGATCCCAGCACTTTGGGAGGCCGAGGCAGGCGGATCACGAGGTCAGGAGATTGAGACCATCCTGGCTAACACAGTGAAACCCTGTCTCTACTGAAAAGACAAAAAAAAAAATTAGCCGGGCATAGTGGCGGGCACCTGTAGTCCCAGCTTCTAGGGAGGCTGAGGCAGGAGAATGGCGTGAACCGGGGAGGTGGAGCTTGCAGTGAGCCAAGATCATGCCACTGCACTCCAGCCCAAGCGACAGAGCGAGACTCCGTCTCAAAAAAAAAAAAAAAATTATGCAGACCCCAGTTTTGGCAGTCGCAGCAGTCCTGAGAAAGTGTTACCAGTGTGTAAGCTGAGGTTGCTTCCCAGAAGACCAGACTTTAGCTCTAAGAAAAAGAGACCAGCCAGGCACTTCCCAAGCCTGTAATCCCAGCACTTTGGGAAGCTAAGCCTGGAGGATTGCTTGAGCCTAGGAATTTGAGACCAGCCTGGAAAAATAGGAAGGCCCTGTCTCTTTAAAAAAAAAAACTCTACAAATTAGCCATGTAGTGGCTGGTATACACCCGAGTAGTGGTCCCAACTACTCAGCAAGCTAAGGTAGGAGGATCGCTTGGGCCCAGGAGGTCAAGGCTGCAATGAACCACAGTCGCATCACTGCACTCCAGTCTGGGCAACAGAGCAAGACCCTGCCTCAAAAAAAAAAGAAAAGAAAAGAAGGCCCTAGCAGAAGCTGCAGCCAGCCAGCCAATAGCTGTTTCTATGTATCTGTGTGCATCTGTACATTTCTGTTCTTCCTCTTTTCATGGAATATGGTCTATGACTATCCTCAGAGGTCATAACTGTTCATCCTACTCCAGTTTCACTTCCCCTCTGTCTATATACTCTGAATATCTCTACCATCTTAATTTATTTCCATTATACAGGATATTAAAGAAAATGAAATCCTTGCTCATCCAACTTATTTCTAAATATTTTCCATTTCCATATGAAGTGTTTCCCATTTCATTAACAGATTTTTTTCCATGTCGGAATCATTCTGCTGGCTTATAGAATTCTCTGCCTCTTTTATTCTCTCTGCTACTGCTTTGGTTGTGGGGTAGAGAGATTTTGTGTGTGTGTGTAGAGAGAGATTGTTATAGCAAGTGTTAGAAGATTGGTTATTCTTTGTCCCTACTTTTTTTTTTTTTTTTTTGGAGAAGGAGTCTCGCTCTGTTGCCCAGGCTGGAGTGCAGTGGCCACAGTCTTGGCTCACTGCAACCTCCACCTCCCAGCTTCAGGCAATTCTGTGCCTCAGCCTCCTGAGTAGCTGGCATTACAGGCGCCTGTCACCATGCCCAGCTGATTTTCGTATTTTTAGTAGAGACAGGGTTTCACCATCTTGGCCCGGCTGGTCTTGAACTCTTGACCTCATGATCCACCCACCTCGGCCTCCCAAAGTGCTGGGATTACAAGCGTGAGCCACCCTGCCCAGCCTGTCCTTACTTTTTAAGCATGAATATGAGGTTCTCGTGCTCGTGGCTTAACTCCTGGTGTCTTGTCCAGAATTTTTTTTTTTTCTTTTGAGACAGAGTCTCACTCTGTCACCTAGGGAGGAGTGCAGTGACATAAACTCGGCTCACTGCAACCTCTGCCTCCTGGGTTCAAACAATTGTCATGCTCAGCCTCCCAAGTGGCTGGGACTACAGGCACATACCACCATACCTGGCTAATTTTTATATTTTTAGGAGCTACTCAGGAGGCTGAAGTGGGGTTTTGCCATGTTGGCCAGACTAGTCTCCAACTCCTGGCCTCAAGTGATCAGAGCACGTTGGCCTCCCAAAGTGCTGGATTATAAGAGTGAGCCACTGCACCCGGCCCCAGAAATCTTTTTTTTTCTTTTTTTTGGAGGCAGATTCTTGCTCTGTCACCCGGGATGGAGTGCAGTGGCACAATCTGGGCTTACTGCAACACCTCTGCCTCCTGGGTTCAAGCAATTCTAGTGCCTCAGCCTCCCGAATAACTCGGATTACAGGCATGTGCCACCACACCCAGCTAATTTTTGCATTTTTAGTGGAGACAGAGTGTCACCATGCTGGCCACGCTGGTCTCAAACTCCTGACCTCAGGTGATCCACCCACCTCGGCCTCCCAAAGTGCTGGGATTACAGGTGTGAGCCACCACACCCGGCCAGAATTCTTAATACTAGTTATAGGACTGCCTGAAAGATCCAGGAAAATAGGCAGGGCATAGTGGCTCACACCTGTAATCCCAGCACTTTGGGAGGCCGAGGTGGGTGGATCACCAGAGGTCAGGAGTTGGAGACCAGCCTGGCGAAGATGGTCATCTCTATTAAAAATACAAAATTAGCTGGGCGTGGTGGCACATGCCTGTAATCTCAGCTACTTGGGAGGTTGAGGCAGGAGAATCGCTTGAACCTGGGAGGCAGAGGTTGCAGTGAGCCTAGATTGCACCATCTTACTCTAGCCTGGGCAACAAGAGCGAGAGATACTTCATCTCAAAAAAAAAAAAAGATCCAAGAAAATAAATTCTACTTTATCTGTTGTTGTAAAAAAAAAGAAGTAACAGATCTTTTTTTTTTTTGCTTTTCTCAACCATAAATGAGCTTTTATAGTATAACTGATTCCTAACTAGGAGATATCATAAAAATAAAAATATGGGATTCAAAAACAAAGAAAAACTTTTATCTAAAAAATCTGACTTTTGGGTTATTTTAGATGGATGCTCCACCACTCTCTCCTTTTCCACATATTAAACAACAGCCAGGCTCACCACGCCGCATTTCCCAACAGCACTCCATTTATATTTCCCCACACAAGAATGGGTCAGGCCTTACACCAAGAAGCGCTCTGCTGTACAAGTTCAATGGCAGCCCTTCTAAGGTAAGGTGAATAGGCTAAAAGTTGGATTTCACATTAACAGTCAGTAACTGTTAATCTTGCCTCTTTTTTTGTTTTTGGCCAAGTTTCTACTATACTAATAAAATATGAAATGTTAACTATGGCATGTCTCCTCTCATCAAGAGCAGTATATTCAGTTTGAGGTAGTTTAATCCATTATTATTGACATGGTATTTGTGGAGTTCATTTTGAAAGTCCAGCATGTTTTCCTGTTCAAGCAAGATCTTGAGAAGGGACCAGTAAAGCAACATCTGCAAGTGGTCAGACCTGGGGGATGTCAAGTTGAAAGAAAGGCATTGGAAGTGAAAGTGCATTTGGTAGATGGCACCCAAGATAGGAAGACGTCTGAAAACACAAGCCTCCTCTTATGTACATAGACAACTCTGTGATCATCTCCATCCTTATCCTTGTTGAGTGGTGAAGATGTGATATGGACATGATTGCTGTTTTCAGATACTTCATGGACTGTCAAGCAGATCTGTTCAGTATGTCTCCAGAAGTCAGAATCAGTATAAACTGGAAGAAATTGTAGTGGGGCATATTGTAATTCAGTCCAAATACATTGGCTCCTTCTTATTACTTTCCTATTAAGTTATACAGATGCCTACAGAGTTCTCACTATACTTGACAAAGTTGGCTAAGATAATATACCTGACTGGACACAGTGGCTCAAGCCTATAATCCTAGCACTTTGGGAGGCCAAGGCAGGCGGATTGCCTGATCTCAGGAGTTCAAGACCAGCCTGGGCAACATGGCGAAACCCCATCTCTACTAAAAATACAAAAAATTAGCCAGGCATGATGGTCCGCACCTGTAATCTCAGCTACTCTGCTCAGGAGGCTGAGGCAGGAGAATCACTTGAGCCCAGGAGGCGGAGGTTGCAGTGAGCCGAGATCACCCCTTTTTCACTCCAGCCTGGGCTACAGAACAAGACTCTGTCTCAAAAAAAAAAAAAAAAATTGAAAAGCATTACTCTAAGGAAGAGGATCTCAAACTATAGGGAGCTTTAAAATCATTGGGAGGGCTTGTTAAAACAGATTAGGGCTGGTCGCAGTGGCTCACGCCTGTAATCCCAGCACTTTGGGAGGCCGAGGCAGGCAGATCACGAGATCAGGAGTTCAAGA